CCGAGGCGGGTGGATCACGAGGTCGAGAGATCGAGACCAACCTGGTCAACATGGTGAAACCCCGTCTCTACTAAAATACAAAAAATTAGCTGGGCATGGTGGCGCGTGCCTGTAATCCCAGCTACTCGGGAGGCTGAGGCAGGAGAATTGCCTGAACCCAGGAGGCGGAGGTTGCGGTGAGCCGAGATCGCGCCATTGCACTCCAGCCTGGGTAACAAGAGCGAAACTCCGTCTCAAAAAAAAAAAAAAAAAAAAAAAAAAGATGTAGGATTTAGAAAATAGGAAAATGTAGGTGAGTGACTTATAATAATTGAACAGATAGATGAATATATTAACAATATATGACAATATATTAACAATATATGACAAAATATTTGTCAGTTTTCTTTAAATTCATTCTCCACACTGTAGCCAGAATGATATTCCACCTGCTTATGTTGCTTCCCTGATCAAGCCCTTTAAAGTCTTGCTATTGCTTTTAGGATGCACAAACCCTTAAGAAGCCTTGTTATGGTCTGGTTCCTACTTACCACGGTAGCTTCCACTCCATTCCACTCCACACCACTCCACTCCACTCCACTGATCTTGTCACATTGAACCTCTGTCTCTTTGAAGAGTCCTTACCCTCTCCTGGCCTTTCTAAATGTTGTTGGTTGTTGCCTCTGTGGGACATAATCTTCCTGTCCCTCTGCCACCCTCATTCTCCAGCAAATTCCAACTCATTCTTTGGATCTCAGTTTAGACATCATTTCCGCTGGGAAGGTCCCTCTGACTATCCAGGAGTAAAACAAGTGTCCTTCTAAGATTCTCTGGCAGCTCACACACTGCTCCAGCACGAGTCTGTGTGATTATTGCTCATTTAGCAGCCTGACTCCCTCACTCACTTATCTTTGTGAGGGCTGGGCTGTGCCTGTCCTGTATACCAGTTACATCTTAACATAGCCTAGGTTGGAAAGATTTAATTTAATTTAATTTTAAAAATACATGTAGCAAGATTTAAATTTATGCAAATAAGGGGATCTAACTCTTTTCTACCTTTATCTATAGCTATCATATATGAGTATGTATATATGAATACATATTAAATATAGATAAATATAAATATATGCTACATATTTTAAAAGTAATAGCAAAACAGCAATTACTCCTTCTTTAAAATTATACTTTAAGTGTTGGGATACATGTGCAGAATGTGCACATTACTTAGGTATACACGTGCCATGGTGGTTTGCTGCACCCATCAACCTGATATCTACATTAGGTATTTCTACTAATGAACAGCAATTACTTTTGCACCAATCTAATTTGTATATTTCTTAAGATGACAGGTCTGGTGAGTGACAGGGTGGATACTCCTGATGTAGGAGGTTGTCTACATGTGTCTTAGACTAAATATTTTAGAACACTTATACACTGTCTTAGGACTTCTGTCTTTGATAAACCTTCACTTTTGATCTGTGTAAAATGTCTTTCTGATTCCTTTCTGACTTTCTTTCTGAGGATTATTTTTAATACCACTCTTTTCCAAATATAGTTCCTCGCTCTAATAGAATAGTGATTTATTCTTTGGGTACAGTGCATCCAGTTTGCACATTATCCTGAGCAATTCTTGCTTTCAATTTTGTTTTGATTTGAAATAAACTAGACTATAAAACAATGTTTTCAAATGATCTACCCATATTTTTGCCTCTGTTGTTGTCATTTTACTTCTGCAAACTCTCCGTAGTCTGGAGCCCATGAGGAGGTATTGGCAGTCATTCACTTCCTCATAATTTGGAAAACTGTCGAAACTAGACTGCCGTTACCATAGCTCATCCTACGTTGCTGTTCTCTGTTAATCTGTTAAAAAATATTTTCCAGCACTAGAAATATAAACTAAAATAAAAGTAACATGAAGTATTCCAAAATACAAATAGTGATTTATTTGTTGGCAATTTGCAATATTTTTCATCGATCTGCTGGCCCACTAGCAAAGAAACTTGAGGAAATCAGATGTCTTCATTCCTTATTTTTCAGATGCTGGATGGCACCTTTAAGAAATCATGCAACAGGTATTCAGTGTTTGGTAGAAGCACACAGATTTAGGAGTCCAACCCACATATTAAAATGATGCTGAGGCTGAACCTGTTCCACATTCTTTACCTTACTCCTTGTCCAACTTACTATCTCGTCCATGACCAGCAAAATGGTCCCCACCGCTTCCCCTTCTCAATGGACTTGCATGGGCTTCTTGACCATCACTTCTACAGGCTCATGATGCATCGTCGCTCACCTTCTGGTTTGGCAACTAAAATGATGGCCTGATTATCTGATTTCTCCTTCTGAACTAAGGACCTCATAAGAATCATCCTGGACCCTGTTGCCTCCCTGATTCTGGCTCTAAAGGGACAGGTGTTGGCTGTTATCTTGAACCTAGGATCAGGAGATGCTGGAATTTTTGCCAACGTCACTATTCTACAATTGAAAGCATGCAATTTTTGAACCCACTCTACTTTACAGGAGAGATGTTCCTTGATATAGTTTAGCTGTGTCCTCACCAAATCTTGACTTGAATTCTATCTCCCAGAATTCTCACGTGTTGTGGAAGGGACCCAGAGGGAGATAGTTGAATCTTGGGGGCTGGTCTTTCCCATGCTATTGTTGAGATAGTGAATAAGTTTCACAAGATCTGAGGAGTTTATCAGGAGGCTTTTGCTTCTTTCATTCTTCTCTTGCCACCATCAAGGAAGAAGTACCTTTGGTCTCCCGCCATGATTCTGAGGTCTCTCCAGCCATGTGGAAACCTCTTTTTGTTCCCAATTTCAGGTCTGTCTTTATCAGCAGCATAAAAACGAACTAATACATTCCCCGCCTAGGGGTTTTGCTGCAGTTGAAAAGCTTTATGATCTTCTAGAATAGTCCTCAATCTTATCAAGTTCTCTTTTTTGTAAAAAATAGTTTGTAATGCTTCCTTTATGATTCTGAAATAAAAGTGATGGATAATATAATCTACCTAGACATCATTTCAAAAAAAATCAATATAATGCACAAACTAGTATAAAGAGAAATAAGAGCAAAGTAATTTATGATAGATTAGTATGGATTTCATTATATAAATGTTTAAGAATTAGTATCCCAGAGGATATAAGATTATTGTCAGGTGATTGCGCCTATGCACCAAACCAACTTGTGACAGCTACAGAGGTAGATGGTTAAAAGTGAGAATTTTTTAATTTTTATTTTTAATTGACACATATTAATTGTACATATTCATGGGATACAATGGGATATTTTGATACAAGAAGTGTGTTTTATTTGGAGACATAAATTGAATAAGTGGTGTTGCTATCAGAAAGTGATTTTCAAAAAAGTGGTAAAATCAAAACAAAACAAATATAATTTTCTCTTTGGGAAATGCAATGTAGTTATGTAAAAGGAAATCAGCTTCCAGGCTCAAATAATATAAACAGGTTTTTAACTTATACAGGTATCTTTTGGGGCAATGAAAAGTTATGTGGGATACAAGACAATTCTTTATCGTCTGGAACGGTCTCATGTATTGCAGGACATTTGGCATTCCTGGAACCTGCCAAAGATCTAGTCAAAGGCAGTAGCTTCCTTATCATGGTGACATCCAAAACATGTGCTCTTCCCCATTTTAAAACTGCTGCCAAGGGGATGATAGAGCCCTCATTGAGAGCCACTGCTGTGAAGATTACCCACCTGCCCAGGAATGCGGTCAAGGAGAAAGAAGGTGGTAGAAGAGGTGATGGGTGTGAATTGATATTTATATGTACCTACTATGTTGCAGTGTCCACGAAAGAATTTTACGTATTTTTTTAACTTCAGCTCTAAAATCAGCCCTTGAGGTAGGCAGGCTAGGGAGGTTAAATAACACTCAGAGTCATACAGCTGAAAAGTATGAGCTGATTGTGCTTAAGTCCTCCATAGCTAATGGCATTCTTGGCTCTCTGGCTCTACAGAAAATGAAAAAATGGTCAATACTGTACACATGATGGAGAGGCATCTTTGTGGAAATTTCAAGGGAGTTCCCAGCTGAGCCAGGCCAGATGCATGAAAGCCCAGGCCAAGCAGAAAGTGTCAATCATGCTATTCACAAGCCCAGCTGAGGGAGGTCCTGTCCACTGCTCTGCAGCGGAGTCTAAAGCTTAGCCCAAGATCCAGCCCTGGAACAATGCCACTCTCTGTAGGATTTGCCTTTCCTTAAAAAAAAAAAAAAATCTTCATTGTTTTCTCCCTTAGAAATGATAGCTGCTCATTGTGAAATATTCCTACAGTCTAGAAATGTATAAAGCAGGAAGTGAAAGTTCTGTAGTCCCATCACTCAAAGATAATTGCTGCATACATCCTTTTGGGTTTTTTTCCTCAGTGTATAAAAATATAGATTGTAAAATGGGATCACACTATAAATACTGTTTTTAACTTGCTGTTTTTATTTAGCAATATATTATGGCTTTTTATATTTGTCAATATACAAAAATCTCTCTCCCTCTCTAATATTTAATGACATTTTAGAATTGTATGTCTACTTTTGCTCTAGGTCCATAAGGAAACAACTTCCAGAGGAAACAGACACAAAAATACTTTAGTTTTTTTTATATTTTTGCTATCACAAACAATGCTATAATGGGCATAGTTGGGCATATATCTTTGTGTAAAAACACACATACTTCTGTAGTATAAATTCTTGGAAATTGAACTGCCAATTTGCTATCTGAAAGGCCCTACCAATCTATAGTTCTATCAATGGCACTTAAAAATGTCAATTACTTACACTTCAGCAAACTAACAATTTTTTTCATCCAATTGGTTTTGGGGAAATAATGCATGTTAATTTGTTTTAAAAGTACATGAAAAAAATTTCTGAAATCACACCCTTCAAACATTTTTCCACTGGAACATTTCACTGAATATCTGCCCTGTGATGAATGGTGCCCCACAAAAGATATGCCCCCTGAGAACCTGTGAATGTGACTTACTTGCAAAAAGTGTCTTTGCAGATACAATTAAGTTAAAGATCACTCGATGAGAGCATACTGGATTATGATGAACCCTATATTCAATGACAAGTGTCATTACAAGAGAAAAGCAGAGAGGACACAAAGAGGTGACATGAAGACAGAGGCAGATTAGAGAGATGCATCTACAAGCCAAGAAATACCAAGAATGACCAGCAGCCATCAGAAGCTAGGAGAGGTGCATGGACTGAATTCTCCTCAGAGCCTCTAGGAGGAACCAACCCTGCCAGCACCTCGATTTCGAACACTGACCTCCAGCACTATGAGAGAATAAAATTGTGCAGTTTTCAAAAACATTTATTTATTATACTTTAAGTTCTTGGATATACATGTGCAGAACATGCAGGTTTGTTACATAGGTATACATGTGCCATGGTGGTTTGCTGCACCCATCAACCCATTGTCTAGGTTTTAAGCCCCACATGCATTAGGTATTTGTCCCAATACTCTCCCTCCCCTTTCCTCCTACACCCCTACAGGCCTCGATGTGTGATGTTCCCCTCCCTGTGTCCATGTGTTCTAATTGTTCAACTCCCACTTATGAGTGAGAACATGCAAGGTTTGGTTTTCTGTTCCTGTGTTAGTTTGCTTAGGATGATGGTTTCCAGCTTCATCCATGTCCCTTCAAAGGATATGAACTCATTCTTTTTTATAGCTGCATAGTATTCCGTGGTATCTATATGCCACATTTTCTTTATTCAGTCTATTATTGATGGGCATTTGGGTTGGTTCCAAGTTTTTGCTATTGTGAATAGTGCTGCAATAAACATACGTGTGTGCATGTGTCTTTATAGTAGAATAATTTATAATCCTTTGGATATATACCCAGTAATGGCATTGCTGGGTCAAATGATATTTCTAGTTCTAGATCCTTGAAAAATCACCACGCTGTCTTCCACAATGGTTGAACTAATGTACACTCCCACCAACAGTGTAAAAGCATTCCTATTTCTCCACATACTCTCCAGCATCTGTTGTTTCCTGGCTTTTTTTTAATTTTAATTTTTTTATTTTTTTTATTGCATTTTAGGTTTTGGGGTACATGTGCAGAACATGCAAGATAGTTACATAGGTACACACATGGCAGTGTGTTTTGCTGCCTTCCTCCCCGTCACCCACATTTGGCATTTCTCCCCAGGCTATCCCTCCCCAGCTCCCCCTCCCCACTGTCACTCCCCTATTCCCCCCAGTAGACCCCAGTGTGTAGTACCGCCTTCCCTGTGGTTTCCTGGCTTTTTAATGATCACCATTCTAACTGGCATGAGATGGTATCTCATTGAGTTTTTGATTTGCATTTCTCTAATGACCAATGATGATGAGCTTTCTTCCATATGTTTGTTGGCCACATAAATATCTTCTTTAGAGAAATGTCTGTTCATATCCTTTACCCACTTTTTCATGGGGTTGTTTGTTTTTTCTTGTAAATTTGTTGAAATTCCTTGTAGATTCTGGACATTAGCCCTTTGTCAAATTGATAGATTGCTAAAATTTTCTCCCATTCTGTAGGTTGCCTGTTCACTCTGATGTTAGTTTCTTTTGCTGTGCAGAAGTTCTTTAGTTAAATTACATCCCATTTGTCAATTTTGGCTTTTGTGGCCATTGCTTTTGGTGTTTTAGTCATGAAGGCTTTGCCCATGCCTATGTCCTGAATGGTATTGCTTGGGTTTTCTTCTAGGGTTGTTATGCTTTTAGGTCTTACATTTAAGTATTTAATCCATCTTGAGTTAATTTTTGTATAAGGTGTAAGGAAGGGATCCAGTTTCAATTTTCTGCATATGGCTAGTCAGTTTTTCTATTTTTTTTTTCAGGTTTGTGAAAGTTCAGATGGTTGTAGATGTGTGGGTCACTGTAGCCTTGTAGTATAGTTTGAAGTCAGGTAGTGTAATGTCTCCAACTTTGTTGCTTTTGCTTAGGATTGTCTTGGCTATACAGGCTCTTTTTCGGTTCCATATGAAATTTGAAGTAGTTTTTTCTCATTCTATGAAAAAAGTCAATGGTAGCTTGATGGGCATAGCATTGAATCTATAAATTACTCTGGGCAGTATGGCTATTTCCACAATATTGATTCTTCCTATCCATGAGCATGGAATGTTTTTCCATTTGTTTGTGTCTTCTCCTATTTCCTTGAGCAGTGGTTTGTAGTTCTCCTTGAAGAGGTCCTTCACATCCCTTGTAAGTTGTATTCCTAGGTATTTTACTCTCCTTGTAGCAGTTGTGAATAGGAGTTCACTCAGGATTTGGCTCTGTGTTTATCTATTATTGGTATATATGAATGCTTGTGATTTTTGCACATTCATTTTGTTTCCTGAACTTTGCTGAAGTTGCTTATCAGCTTAAAAAGATTTTGGACTGAGACGATTGAGTTTTCTAAATATACAATCTGCAATATACATCTGCAAACACAGACAATTTGACTTCTTCTCTTCCTATTTGAATACCCTTTATTTCTGTCTCTTGCCTGATTTCCTTGGCCAGAACTTCCAATGGCATCTTGTCTTGTGCCGGTTTTCAAAGGGAATGGTTTCAGCTTTACCCATTCAGTATGATATTGGCTGTGGGTTTGTCATAAATAGCTCTTATTCTTTTGAGATATGTTCCATCAATACCTAGTTTATTAAGAGTTTTTAGCATGAAGGGGTGTTGAATTTTATCAATGGCCTTTTCTGCATCTATTGAGATAATCATGTGGTTTTTGTCATTGGTTTTCTTTATGTGATGTATTACATTTATTGATTTGCATATGTTGAACCAGCCTTGCATCCCAGAAATGAAGTGGACTTCATTGTGGTGGAAAAGCTTTTGATGTGCTGTTGGATTCGGTTTGCCAGTATTTTATTTTATTAATTTTCGCATAGATGTTCATCATGGATATTGGTCTGAATTTTTCTTTTTTTGTGTGTCTGCCAGGTTTTGGTATCAGGATGACACTGCCCTCATAAAATGAGTTAGGGAAGAGTCCCTCTTTTTCTATTGTTTGGTACAGTTTCAGAAAGAAAGGTACTAGCTCCTCTTTGTACCTCTGGAAGAATTTGTCTGTGAATCTGTCTGATCCTTAACTTTTTTTGATTGGTAGGCTATTAACTACTGCCTCACTTTCAGAATTTGTTATTGGTCTTTCAGGGATTTGATTTCTTCCTGGTTTAGTCTTAGGAGGGTGTATGTGTCCTGGAATTTATCCATTTCCTCTAGATTTTCTAGCTTATTTGCACAGAGGTGTTTATAGTATTTTCTGATGGTAATTTGTATTTCTGTGGGATCAGTGGTGATATCCCCTTTATTATTTTTTATTATGTCTATTTAATTCTTCTCTCTTTTCTTCCTTGTTAGTCTGGCTAGTGGTCTATCTATTTTGTTAATCTTTTCAAAAAACCAACTCTTTATTTCATTGATTTTTTTTAATAGTTTTTCGTGTCTCTATCTTCTCCAGTTCTGCTCTCATCTTAGTTATTTCTTCTCTTCTGCTAGTTTTTAAATTTGGTTGCTCTTGCTTCTGTAGTTCTTTTAATTGTGATGTTAGGCTGTTGATTTTAGATCTTTCCTGCTTTCTCCTGTGGGCATTTAGTGCTATAAATTTCCCTCTAAACACTGCTTTTGCTGTGTCCCAGAGATTCTGGTATGTTGTATCTCTGTTGTCATTGGTTTCAAAGAAATTATTTATTTCTTCCTTAATTTTGTTATTTATTCAGTAGTCATTCAGGAGAAGGTTGTTCAGTTTCCATGTAGTAATTTTGAGTGAGTTTCTTAATCCTGAGTTCTAAACTGATTGCACTGTGGTCTGAGAGACTGTTCATGATGATTTCCCTTCTGCATATTCTAATGAGTGTTTTACTTCCAATTATGTGGTCAATTTTAGAACAAGTGCAATGTGGTGCTGAGAAGAACGTGTATTCTGTTGGTTTGGGGTGGAGAGTTCTGTAGATGTCTATTAGGTCTGCTTGGTCCAGAGCTGAGTTCAAGTCCTGAATATCCTTGTTAATTTCTGTCTCAATGATCTGTCTAATATTGGCAGTGGGGTGTTAAAGTCTCCCACTATTATTATGTGGGAGTATAAGTTTCTTTTTAGGTCTCTAAGAACTTGCTTTATGAATCTGGGTGCTCCTGTATTGGGTGTATATATATTTAGGATAGGTAGCCCTTCTTATTGCATTGATCCCTTTACCATTATGTAATGCCCTTCTTTGTCTTTTTTTAATCTTTGTTGGTTTAAAGTTTGTTTTATCAGAGACTAGAATTGCAACCCCTGCTTTTTTTTCCATTTGCTTGGTAAATGTTCCTCCATCCCTTTATTTTGAGCCTATGTGTGTCTTTACATGTGAGATGGGTTTTCTAAATACACCACACTGATGGGTCTTGACTCCTTATCTAATTTTTTAGTCTTTGTCTTTTAATTGGGACATTTAGCCCATTTACCTTTAAGGTTAATATTATATGGTAAATTTGAGCTTTTCATTCTGATGCTAGCTAGTTATTTTGCCCCTTAGTTAATACAGTTTCTTCGTTGTGTCAACAGTCATTACCATTTGGTATGTTTTTCCAGTGGCTGATACCAGTTTTTCATTTCTATGTTTAGTACTTTCTTCAGGAACTCTTCTAAGGCAGGCTTGGTGGTGACAAAATCTCTCAGCATTTGCTTGTCTGTAAAGGATATTATTTCTCTTTCACTTATGAAGCTTAGTTTGGCTGAATATGAAATTCTGGGTTGAAAATTCTTTTCTTTAAGGATGTTGAACTTTGGTCCCCACTCTCTTCTGGCTTGTAGGATTTCTGCAGAGAGAGCCACTGTGAATCTGATGGGTTTCCCCTTGTGGGTAACCCAACCTTTCTCTCTAGCCACCCCTAACATTTTTTCCTTCATTTCAACCTTGGTGAATCTGATGATTACATGTGTTGGGGTTGCTCTTGAGGAATATCTTTGTGGTATTCTCTGCATTTTCTGAATTTAAATGTTGGCCTGTCTTGCTAGGTGGGGGAAGTTCTCCTGGGTAATGTCCTGAAGAATCTTTTCCAACTTGGTTCCATTCTCCCTGTCACTTTAAGGTAAACCAATCAAATGTAGGTTTGATCTTTTCACATAGTCCCACATTGCTTGGAGGCTTTGTTCATTCCTTTTCATTCGTTTTTTTTTTTTCTAATCTTTTCTTCAAGCTTTATTTCATTAAGTTGATCTTCAATTTCTGATATCCTTTCTTCCACTTGATTGATTTGGCTATTGATACTTGTATATGCTTCACAAAGTTCTTTTGCTGTGTTTCTCTGCTCCATCAGGTCATTTATCTTCTTCTCTAAACTGGTTATTCTAGTTAGCAATTCCTCTAATCTTTTTTCAGGATTCTTAGCTTCCTTGCATTCAGTTAGAACATGCTCCTTTAGCTCAGAGGAGTTTGTTATTACCCACCTTATGAAGCCTACTTCTGTCAGTTCATCAAACTCATTCTCCATCCAGTTTTTTCCTCTGCTGGTGAGGAGTTGTGATCCTCTGGTTTTTGGAATTTTCTACCATTTTATGCTGGTTTTTCCTCATCTTTGTGGATTTATCTATCTCTGGTCTTTGATGTTGGTGACCTTCATATGAAGTTTTTGCATGGATGTCTTTTTTATTGATGTTGATGTTATTCCTTTCTGATTGTTAGTTTTCCTTCTAAGAGTCAGGCCTCTCTGCTGCAGGTCTGCTGGAAGTTCCTGGAGGTCCACT